CAGGAGGCAGTGTGCTCTCCATTTGGGGAGGTGACCAAGGGAAGTCTGGGGACCCTTGGCCGGAAGGAGATTACAAAGGGGACAAGGGAGCCCTTTCAGTCCCTTCCCAACCCTGGGAGTCGCCCCTTTTGGTTCAAGTTGGTTGTCACATGCCCTTGTAGATGAGAAGCAGGCCTCCCTGGGCCCGGTGAGATGATGTCCCAGGCATCACCTGGGAGGCTGGTGTTCCGCCTGTGCTGGGCTCTGCAGAGACACAGATGTGCAGGAGGCATTGCCCGCTGCTGAGGCCTGGCTGGCTCCTGCCTCATCTCAGGTGTTGGATCCAGGTAGCAGTGACTGAGAGCCTTCTGTGTTCGAGGCGCAGAGCTGGGCTTTTAGTCCTTCCAACCCCCTGTGAGTGCCTGGGGGTGAACATCCCCAATTCATTACTGAGGAAGCTGGCCCTGCCTGGTGGCCCCTTGATGACATAAACCTTGGCGATAATAAGTTTGAATGGGAAGCTTGGCAGTGGAAATGGCAAGAGGGTTTGGTTTTCAGATGGCATTTGAAACACTTCTTGTCTGTGAGCCTGGAGGGTGGGGGTGAAGGTTGAGACTTTCCCCCAGGGCCAAACTGCTGCTCTGTGGGAAAGTTCTGCCCAGTGTCCCTCCAGCCCTCCTTAAGGTTTTATAGACCTCCATCCTTTATCCACCGCCTGATCACACTTTTGGATGCCATTTGGCAGGTGAGGAGGCCCAGGGAAGGCGGAAAGTGTGGGAGTCTTAAATGTGAGTGCACTGGCGACTCTTGGGCCAAGAGGCTCCTTCTCTCGTTTTGAGAGGGACGCAGGGACTTTGCATAAACCTTGAACTTGTCTCCCAGATGCCGTGGGCGGAGCCCATTACCAAAGCTGTCCTGGCAATCTGAGGCCCTGAGTTTTAATTTGTAGCAGCGAGAGTCAGGGAAAGGGAATTGCTTTGTGACTCATGAAGTCACAAAGACAAAACCACAAATAAGGGACTCCAGTTGGCAAAAACCAAATAGCTTCAAGGCTATTCTTGGAAACCAAAGCATCACGTCTTGTTTCTTCCCAGAAAATGCAGAAACATTTCATATTTCTGGGTAGTTGGTTTTGTTTATATTTCATATCAAACTCCAAAAAGGCAACAGCTGGGTGGTGGTTGACAAGGAAGACTTTAACAAGAGCTGTTATCCAGGATCCTCTGATTCAATTAATCCTTGACCCCTCTCGGGGCAAGAGAGGGGTACCCACCAAAAGTGTGATGCTCCAGTTTCTGGAAGAAAAGTCTTGAAGCTTACACTGAGACTCACGGAGTCCTTCTAAGTCAGCCTTTCTAGTTCATTAACAAAACCACCTTGTACCATGTATGTTTTTAGTGCATTACCCCAACTTCCTTGTATGAAGTTCCCCACTTTATAGATGAGAAACTTAAAACTCAGAAGTTAAGTGAGTTGTCCAAGGCTACACAGCTAGGAAGTAGATTTGAACCCAGATCTTCTGAATTGAAAGCCCACGGCTTCTAGTTTTAAAGTATATAGAATTCCTTGACCTGGGAAGCTAGTCCCAGTGGTCATCAATTATGTTCTTTTTTCTCTTCTTTGGGTTTGATGATGTTTGGGCCATTTGAAGAATAGTCATGAGGGCTGGTTATCATGTAGCTGCCAGGTGCTAAGGACATCACTTACATGATGGTGTTTATTCTTTACAACCCTGTGAAGTGAGTAGTAGTATCCTCATTTTACAGATGAGAAAACAGGCTGAGGTGGATCAGATTGCCCCAGGTGCCCTGGGTCACTCAGCTGGCAAGTACGTGAGGTTAGATTCACACCCGGCTTTGCCAGAGTCTAATACTCTGATATTCTTCTGCGAGGAAACCTCCCCTGCATGGGTGTTAGAGTCATGTTTAAGGTCTTTGACTTAAATTGGAAAGCTGGTTCTAAGGGTTGAGAGTAGACTCTTTAGATCTAGGGAGGCAGGTCTGAGCCTGGTACCGGCCACTGGGGTACAGTCCAAGGCAGCTTATCTCCTCCTGTCTAGCCATCTCCCTCCACCTCCCCTTATCTCGCTCCAGATAGGAGCTAGTTCCTGGAGCTCCCACGCCCACCCAGCGCCCTCAGCACCACCTTTGGCTCTTTCTACTGGAGCCCAAAGATTAAGTGGTTCATTTTTCTTCGCGGGGAGAAGGGGAGGCAGCCGGGGTTGGGAGGAGACAGCTTCTTCCAGTTTATAAATTATTCTCTGGGAGTTATGTCTGGCTTGATACCTCTGAACGCTTCGCCATTTTGGACAAGGAGGAGTTACAACTTGCAGAATTGATTTACAACCCTATTTTTCAAACTGGTGCTTTCCCCAGATACGAGTCTGCCCCACGTGATGGATGCAGTCCTCCCAGGGCCAGGCTCGGCGATCACGCATGTATCTTGCCCTTCACAGCAACGCTCCAAGGTGCAGCTTATCATCTGTCTCTTACAAAAGAAGAAACTGAGGCTCAGAGCTTAAGTGGCGTGTGTGAGGCTGTGTGGTATAGCGAGGGGCAAGCTGAGCTCTGGACTCGGGCTCCAGTAGCCCCAAAGCCTCGTGGTTTTCTCTGCACCACCTGCCCATCTTCAGAAAGGACGGCAGGGTGCCAGTTGAGTGCCAGTAGCTTTGTACTTGTCCATCAGCTGCTGCATCCTTGTTTAACACGGGACACAAAAGTGATTCCAAAGATAGATGAAGACTGAGGATGTTAATATGCTCTGCAAAGCAAACGAGTCCTGCTCTCTGTTTATGCTCTCTGGGTGGCATGTCTTGCACATGGACAAAGTCGAAACACAGTAGGAGGCGGTGTTTATGTGAGTGATGCCAAAGTGAGCGCCACGGACATTAAAGGAGCCCAGAGAGCATCTGTGAGGGAATCCATGTCTTATCCATACCAGGCAAAGCACAGACAGCCTTCCAAGTTGCCTGAATATGTTGAGTTACAGGGGGCCGGAGCAGCCAGGTAGGTTCTCATGGAGGATGGAGGCCTGGCTAAAGGGTGGAACTTGGCTGGGCCTGGGGCAGGGAATGTGCTTCTCTCCCTTCAGCTGAGCATGGTGCCGGGCCCATTGGAAGCTCTCAGGGAAAGAAGGAAGGGAGGGAGGGGTCCTATACTGTTGCCGGTGCCCCTGCACCCATCAATGTCTGGAGAGCTCATCTGCTCCCAGCAGGCTGCTCCTCACGGGTGGTGCCCAGCCAGGCTGCCCTACAACATTCATGTCCCCTAGCTCTCGCAGCTTCTTTATTCATTGCTGCCTCTTTCTCCAGTCCACCCTCTGCCACCTTATCTTCCCAAAGACTTGTCTCACCCTGCTGCTCTGTCTCCTGCACCCCATGGCCCACTGGAGAAGCGAGGCCCCCTCCGCGATCTGCCCTGGACGCTCCCACCACACCTTGTCATGAGTCTTGAACTCCCGACACCTTGAACTTGCTGTCATTCTGCAGCTGTCCTGGCCCTTTCCAGACTCATGCCTTCGTGTGGTGTTTCCTTTGCCTGAAACGTCCGTTCTTCAGTCTTCTGGTGAAATCCACCTCGTTCCTAAAATTGTAGCATTTGTCACTTCCCTCTTGTGGCTCCTCTGGGCTCTGTTGGACACCTCTGCTCTGGGTGTCCATGCACTGTGTTCGTAGTCCACAAGCACTCACCTATTGTCTTTTAATCAGCTCTTGATGGGCCTGTCTTCCTCGCTGGGCCCCATCCCTATATCCCCAGCACCTAGGGTGATGCGTGGCTCTTACGAAGGCATCAGTAATTGTCGCTGAATGAATGGGTAAAGGATTAAGGAAGAAGATAAACACCATTCTCTGCTTTTAGTATTATAAGGCTAGCCCACAATCCATATGCACCCACAATAGCGTTCCAGTCTGGAGAGTGGGAAGCCACACAGCCTGAGGGCCTTGTCTCTGTGTGTTTGCTGACCTCCTCCTGCTGGGCCTCTGTCTGGGGGAGCTCAGTATGCTGTATCCTCTCATTTACAGACCCCTCAAGCCCTCCTGACAGCTGGGCCAGCCCCAGCTCCTCCACACTTGTCTTCTTGCTCTAGCTTCAGATTCTGGTAAAATAGCTAGGGCTTTGGAAAACCAGCTCTAATTTATTTTTGTTCTTTTGAAACTTAACTGACTTTCCTAAGAAATGCCTGAGGTTAGAGTGGCAGAGAGAGAAAGGGCGATGGCCAAAACCCAGGCAAGCTATTTTTGTGATGTGAATGAACACCCATCGCATTTTTCCTCCCATCAGCCTAAGCACTTGTTCTAAATAGCTCAGAGCTTGGGCTTACAAAGCACAGACCCCTCCTGCACGTTGTGAGGAGATCCATGTGTCTCTGTCTTTCTGTGTGTCTGCCGGAGGTAGATGCTGTGCCGCCAGCAGACACCAGGAATAGAAATTTGGAGAAGTGGCCGTTTGTTGTCTGCAGAGGGGAAAGACCTGCTCTCTGGTAACTAACGAAGGAAGACATTCAAGTCTGATGTCTAAGGATAGGTGGGATGGTTCTGAAATCTAGGGAGGCATGTGCTTTGATTTTTATGGTCTGTGCACTCACGTCATATCGCTAGGTGATGTTAATATGAGTCAACCAATTTGCAGCACCAAGAATTGTAGGTTTTCAATGGTGCTAAATCTAGAGTGCTTTTCTAGTTTTTTCCTTTTACTAGTTACTATTTCTAGAATCATCTGGCTCATAGCAAGATTGACCAGGTAATATTGACAGCAGTCAGGGTGAGGCTTTGAGCAATCTGTCGTTCTTTTTAGCCAGTGAGAGGAGTGGAGTGTTGGGGAGAAAGACGTCGCCGGCAAGACAGCATTGCCAGGTTAGAAGTTTTGATTGTATGTTTTCTATAGATTATTTATGTTTTGTATTGAGTTTTATATTTAGTATGTTTAGTATCTTAAAGGGATTTTACTTTGACTCTCAGCACCCATTCCCCACCCTACCCTCGTTGCCATGGAGCTCACCTCTGCCTCCGCCTCCCTCTGCAGGTGTGACGTTTTTCTGGTACTTCATGGTCTTCTCCTCCACCCTCTCCACTCCACTGCTCCACGCGGCTCCTGGAACATGGGGGAAAACGAGGATGAGAAGCAGACCCAGGCCGGGCAGATTTTTGAGAACTTTGTCCAGGCTTCCACGTGCAAAGGCACCCTCCAGGCCTTTAACATCCTCACCCGGCACCTGGACCTAGACCCTCTGGACCACAGAAACTTTTATTCCAAGCTGAAGTCCAAGGTGAACACCTGGAAGGCTAAAGCCCTGTGGTACAAATTGGACAAGCGTGGATCCCACAAGGAATATAAGCGAGGGAAGTCGTGTATGAACACCAAGGTAGGGAGAGCCCTGGATGGACATTTCTTACTCTGTGGGGCCCATGGGTTGACTGGTTGGGAGGTTAGGACCGGTTGCCATTTTCCTGTTCTGAGGTTTGTAGTAGGTGTGGGTGTGTTTTATTGTCTGGCTCAGTTGAAGTCTTCCTTTGTCTATACACGCACAGCTTATCCGTATAAGATGGGAGCTTGCGTCTTATTGTGCTGGCCTCAGCTACTCTTCCTGTGCCTTCTCCATGGTGGAGAAAATGCAGGCATGCTTGACGCCGTCCTATTTCTACTGTTACTACCACCACTACTACTAGAACAGTAGCTGCTATTTATTGAGCAACTTCTACGGGCTAGGCAGTTTACGTACGTGGTCTCATTGAAGCCCCCCACATAGTTCTTTGGGCCATTTTAGAGAGATGGAAACTGAGAAGTCAATTATCTTGCCCAAGGTCACACAGTTAAATGGCAGCTTCGGTCTGTCTGATTTTAGGGCTTATGTCCTAAATTCCGTGGTAAGGCATAACTAGAGAATTGTGTTCCCCTGGGAGCAAACATTCTAGGAAGATCCCCTGACTTGTAATTAATTGGCTAAGAAGTAGGTCTTTGGTCCTTACTGCCTTTCCTCCCTCTCTCTTTCTCTTCCTCTTCACATCTTCACATTCTCCCCTCCCCACCCCTTTCCCAGAATGCACTTCTCTGCTCAGGATCACCCTTGTAGTTAACCCTCCACAAGCCGATTACTCCCCCACTGTTTGACCATAGGCAGCATCGGTGAACCTGGGGCTGACCTGCGCATCACCTCTCTGTTATCTCTGCAATGCCCATTGCCAAATGGGCAGCCAGAGGTCAAGACTTCCCTGTGGGCCCTTGGGGGCTGTCAGCCTGGGCGCTGGTCCAGGCTGTATGTTTAGGTTAAAAGTGAACGTGCTGTATTTAGACCTCACAGGAGGTAGCTCAGCCAGAGGCCTTGGAATTCTAGTCAGTGCCAATCCCAGACAAGAGGATTGAACTCTCCATGGCGATCGGGACTGTTGTGTTTTTGTTTTGGTGATGAGGAGCCGTTTTGTCCACCGTGGGATACGGCTGCTTTCCCTTGCCCCCGGGGAGACAGCTGCCAGGCTCCGCCGAGCCTGGGGCACACCGACTGACCGTCGCACAGGAGGAGCATTGCATCGGGCTAAGAGACCAACTGCTTCAGCCCAGGTCATACCTGCCCATGACCTGCCAAGCTTCAGCCTTACACAGAGGAGATGGAAGTGTTACAGAAAAGAGGGGGAGAAAGGGGTGCGGCCAGTATCCTAGGCACCACCCCCGCCCAGCACCTCCCTTCCTAGTTGTAACTTCATGGTTTGTACTTCATTGGGTAGCTCTTCAGACTTAGAGGAGGGGAAGCTTTTAGCTTTCAAAGCATCACATGGTGATGCATATGGTGGCTTTCTTTTAAGAAGATCTCATAGAAGTCAGGGGGCTGGGCTGCAATATGTTTTCTCAGAGAAGGTTTTCAGAGGTCTTATTTTATGAGGAAATGCTATAGGAAACCCAACAGTTTCTAGCTGTTGAGGGACTCTCTTGGTGATCTGAAGACAGACCTTCAGAGGGAGTGAGCCAGCAGGAAGACGGAATGGAGGGTTGACCACCATGAAGATATCCTTCTTCAAAAATCGCTAGCCAGTTGCCTAGCCTGTCTGACCAGCCTCTATTTGATAAGCAAGCTTTCGTGGCTTGAAATAGAAGAGTCCTTACATCCTGTGGTTGGCAGGTCACCATTGGTGCCAGAAACGCTAACGTCCTTAGTGATACTGAGCAAGAGTGATTCTTGCCCAGGAATTTTTACACCTTTCTTAGGAGGAGGAACAAAGACATTTCAAATGTGTGGTAGCCTATCTGATAAAAACGACCTAGATCCCCAAGAGCAGAAGACACATTTGAAAATGCACTCTTAGTACTGTTGTGACTATGTTAGGCCACGTTAGCTGCACATTTCAGAAACCCAGCTCAAACTAACCTAAACAAACAGGGACATGATTAGCTCATCTAAACAGGAAGGTCCAGACACTCTGAGTCTTTCCCATCCTCCCTCCTTTCATCTCTCTCTTGGATGTTTTGTTCTGTGTTGGCTCCATTCTTCCCTCCTGCAAATGGATTTTCTCCATGTTGGTAGCCTCTAGTTCATATCTTTATAGCTCTGTGGCCCAAAAGGCTAGACTCTTTCTCGTCCTGCTCAATATAGGAAAAAATCTCAGGGAAGGATTCCAATTGGCTCATCTCTGGGCCAATTATTGTGGCCCAAGCCAGGGGAGCTGGCTACTGTCTTCGGCAGCTCTTTTAAGCATCACGTGATTGACATGAGAGAGGAGCAGGTCCCCAAAAACATGGAGGTGAGAGACAGATAAACAAGAGGTGTCCTCCACAGTGGCTGTTTATTTGCATTCTGGTTATGGGGCATGCCCTCTCCGTACTGGATCCATGGATGGTTAATGCTCTGCTCTAAGAGCCTGGCGCTTGTACTCCTTGTGAGTCAAGCAAAACACAGAACATGGTCCTCACTCTTTTCCGACATGGACAGACGCTTCTTGCTCACACACCTCGTTTAGGTATCCTTCAGTGCGGTAGTTTATGCTGAGCATTAGCTGAACAAGAAATGCTGGGCATCAGTGTGCACATGGCTGATCGTTAATACTAAGCCATATGGCGCAGGTGTGTCAGATACCAGGCATATAGCCATGCTCCTGGTTAGCCACAGGTAGAGCGGGAATGAACAGAATTCATCACCTTTGCGCTGATGTAGACACACGTCAGCATAGTCTCGAGTGGATCTGGGCTTCCACGTGTCACAAGCGTTTATCAGCCCCTACTATATGCTACCTAAGCACTGTGCTGCTCCCTTCGTGCCAGCAGTGTGTGTGTGTGTGTGTGTGTGTGTGTGTGTGTGTGTGTTGGTGGTGATGGTAGGCGAGATTGGCGACCAGGATCTGTTTGCAGAAGACGGCGTCTGGTTCAGGCAACAGGGAACAGGGAGAAGGACCTTCAAAGTCACTAGAGCAGTGGCTTAGGTGCCAGTTGCATAATCTAACTCGGGATCATCGTTTATTATTGACATTTATGAGGGTTTTGTCAGGCACTTGATACTTCTTTCCCTGGGTGTGATCTGTTTGGATAAGGATGGAGGGAAGCAAGGAGCAAGCCCAGTGAACTCTCTCAGGGCTGACATTGGCTCTGTATGCAGGTACTACCCAGATCAAATACCACATCCAGTTGTGTAATGTTCCCAGGGAAAACAACCTGGAAGAAAAGGCAGTACAGGGGCTGGCCCAGTGGCGAAAGCGGTTAGGTACGCGCGCTCCTCTGCGGTAGCCCGGCGTTCGCCGGTTTGGATCCTGGGCGCGCACCGGCACACTGCTTGGCAAGCCATGCTGTGGCGGTGTCCCATATAAAGTGGAGGAAGATGGGCACGGATGTTAGCCCAGGGCCAGTCTTCCTCAGAAAAAAAGAGGAAGATTGGCAGATGTTAGCACAGGGCTGATCTCCTCACCAAAAAAAAAAGAAAAGGCAGTGCATAATTGGGGATGGGAATTGCCATCATCCCCAAATCATGGAGTCTGGGCATTTATTTTATATGTACCTTTAATGCTAGAAGGAACTTGAAAGAATGTTGTGTACAGTCTGTGCATCTGACAGGTGACAAACTGGGGGCCCAGGAAGCAGAAGCCATTGCCTGAAGCTAGTGGGTGGCGTTGCCCAGATTTGGACTCTATTTATTGTTTTGCTCATATATTCTTTTGTTCGTTTTTTTAAAGATTTTATTTATTTTATTTTTCCCCCCAAAGCCCCAGTGGATAGTTGTATGTCGTAGCTGCACATCCTTCTAGTTGCTGTATGCGGGACTCGGCCTCAGGATGAACAGAGAAGTGGTGCCTCGATGCGCACCCGGGATCCGAACCCGGGCCACCAGCATCGCAGCGCGCGCACTTAACCACCAAGCCACAGGGCCGGCCCGCTCATATATTCTTTTGTTCGTTCATTCATTCACTCGAAATTTCCAGTGCCCTACACCTTAGAAGGTGTTCGAAGGGGAGATGGTTTAACAGATGAATAAGAAGTGGTTCTCACTTGAGCTTTCTATAGAGGAGACAGAAATGTTATTATTTCTGTATTTATTCACTCATTTAATCATTTATGAGGTGAATAATTATTGAGCAGCTACTGTGTGCCAGGTTCTCATCTAGGTACCTATCAGCCACTTCATAGCTCTGTGGCCTTGGGCAAGTTACTTAAATCTCTGATCTTCAGTGGCATTCTCTTAATATGAGGGTAATAACGGTACTTCCTTCATGGAGTTACAGTGAGGGTTAAATAGGGTAATCTTTGTAAAGTGTTTAGAATGCTGCCTAGCACGTAATAAGTGATCAGTAAACATTTAGCCGTTGTTATCATTAATATCCTAAGTGCTATGAGAGAGGTGTGTTCACTGTTCTGCAGGAGTAGAGAAAAGCTAGCGTGACTAGGGTAGTCTGGGAATGCTTCCTGGAAGAGGAGGTATGATTTGGGGCTTGATGGATGAGTAGGAGTTTGCCTTGCATTGCTGAGGAAGGGCTAGAGGCAACACAAGGCAGAGAGATGTAGTCTAGGAAGAGTGTGTTGCTCATGTCATGTGAATGAAGGTGCTTTTGGGGAAACGGGAGTGGGTGAGAACCAGAGAGAGCAGAATGGATAGATGACAAGAGGAAGCCAGAGAGAAAGGCCTCCTGGGGCCAAGCTGTGAAGAGAGGGTCCCGCAGTCAAACAGAGGACCTGGAGGACCTCTGAGGATGAGCCCCCCAATTCCCAGTCCAGGGTTCTTTCTACCACCCTCCGTGGGGTGGCTCAGCAATCACAGGTACCACTCAGACCAGAGGGCGTTTGTACATCATTGCCGTAAAAACACGCTTGCAGGAAATGACTCATGGACTCGTTAGTCACCAGCAGAAATGGGGCCAGCCTATACAATGAAACCTCTGGGTTATCTGGTGA